CGCAACAAATATACTTCACTTCATATGAAACTTCTTGAGCATGTAGAGTACCCTCTGATAGTCTTAAAAAATATTTATCAAAGAAATTTGTACATCTATAGACTCACAATTAGATTTTTTCAGATTTTACACTTTTCTCTTTTTTGCATACATGGGTAGCCTGAGTTTTCAGCTATCAGAAAAATATTTAAGAGCATTGTTTTAGTAGTAGAATTGACTGCTATAAAGAATTTTGTAATACTGGTTACATGTGAGAGTATGAAATATTTTTCTGTTTTACAATTTTTCTGTGGTTGCCATGCAAACTGGAAACGGTAATTACACAAAACCAGGTTTAAGGTATCCAGCCCATTTTCGCATATCAACACCCATCTGTTGTAATTACTCTCGCAAGCTGAGCCCCATAAACCCACTCGCTTATGTGAGTCTCCAGGACCGGAAATAGTTGCCTTCGGGCTTTCTTCTTCCAGTTATCACTCGCATTTAAATCGATATTTAAATGGTGTTGACAATTTTTTAATATTATTGAGAGCATGGACTTCGAAAGCGGGGCACCAGTTACTGGATCTAGAACCATTTTTATTCCAGTAAGTATCTCATTATCTTATACACATTCTTCATTAAGTTATTCACATACCTGAAAACAGCTTTGTAAACTCTTCCAAGTTCATTTTCTCATTCTCCTTTGACTTGGTTCTCCTTTTACAGATATCATACTTCTCTAGTATCATCAAACCTCTTCTCCGCTTGCCTTTGGCCTATGGAGCTACTGTTAAAGCTGGTCGCTTTGTTGCTTGGATTTCCCCCGATTATTGCTAGCCCCCCATGTTCTCCTCTCTTCTTGATGCTTGCGCAAACAGCAGAAAAAAAAAATACTCCTCCTTTACTCTCTTTGGCCAAGACCTCTTAGTCATCTTTAGTATAATGTATCCCTGGCTATAGTGAATGTGAAGGGTCCTGTTCTTGTCATTCGTTATAGCCAGGTGCGACTGTATGTGCAAAAATTATAACATTGTTTGACTCACAATTGTGAGTCATGAACAGGTAAGCATAATAACCTATGGCACACTAGTGTGCATCATGTAAGATCCAACATACTTATAGCTCAAAATCCTGAGCTACGTAAAATCTGCCTTGCTTAGTCATAGTTTGTAACATCAACTCTCCTCTCCCTCTGCCCGAGTCCCATCGGGCTTATATCAGTCTGTCTTCCAAGCCCCATGTGACAAATGCAATTTCCAATAGTTGGTATACATCGTCTTTAGGTCTACTCCTCTGCTCTTCTTTTCTTATGGTCAGATTAGCTAGTATCCTACTGTCCCCTCTCCTCTCCCTCTGGTTATTGCCTATGGCCATCTGGTCTCCTCCTTCTCTCCATGGTATTGCACTGTCTCCTTGGAGTAGGTCTGGGGGAGGGGGAGTCTACTACCTCAGCATACTTTACTACATTGCTTGCTACTTGAATTACCTGCAGTACTGCCTCTTAGCACTATTACATGGTTTGCTTCTAATCTTTCTTTTGTTTTTTTAGGATTTCTCAAGTGGTTTTCCTGGCCCTTCCTACTCTCTTCTTAGTTAGGATTTCTTTGTTCGTCTTTCTAGCCAGGCTTAGATTTCTTTTCATTGAGACAAGATGTACAGTTAGCTCCATACCAGAGGGGCTTCAGGGGCTGACCTTTTCCTATAGTGAGAGGAGGAATATGGTTTTTTTGTTGTCATAGCTAGCACTCCATACATTTTTTGTACTTTAAATGAATAATTAATGAGATAAACAAAAAAAAAAATTCCTAGCTTTAAAGATATCACCAGCAACTGGAGAAGAGATCTTATTAATATATTCATTCTACTTTACTTCCATCTTTACAAGCCTTCTTGACTATTTCCAAGACAGAAGACTATTGGGCCTAGTGTATACTCGCTTGACTTTAGAGTTACCTACCTCCTAACATATAGTAGCTAATAGTCTTGTCAAATGGGGAGCCTTCAGAGGAGGTAGAGGTAGTAGAAGTCATAGTGGAATCTGAGGTGGTATAGGTAGTAGAGGTGATAAAAGGTAGCTAACACCTTGACCATAACCAACAGATAAAATCAATAAAAGTTACTACTTCCCCAGAAGATTGGCAATTGCTTGCAGATCATGGAGTAAAGGATTTTCAAATTTATTCAGGTCTCCAAGTCCACTGGCATGAAATTGCACTTTATGAAAAAAGAAAAAAATTTACTCCCATGAACAGCCAAGTCACCATATCTGATTTGCTGCACTTACCTCCATACTGGTAGCAGACTCCTGGTAGTAAAATTTACAAAACTTATACGCTATACCTCTATAAGTTAGATACGATATTCTGCTATGAACCCCGGAGCCCCGGAGCCTATACCCCCCCAGATCTCATGTATCGTGCCAAGGGCACCGCACACTATATTTCTACCTATTATACTGTATCAATTATAAACTACCTTTCATACCCTACTGCCAGTGTATAACTAACCACACATGATACAAAATGAGAAACTGCCAACGCCCCCTAGACATTATTGCAACTTCAATCTTGTAGCTATGTGCGCCACATCACGGCAAAATAGATTAGCATTCATTCTCCCAGAGAATATGATGGAAGTTCTGTTTTAGTTAGCTACGGTATTGTGGGTGTTTATCTGACGGGAGGCACATCCTTTGACGGATGGCAGTGGGATCGGGAAAAGAGAAGGGGGAATAAATAAATAGTTAAAGTATGATAATATTATTATACCAGTAGTGCCTAATGCTTTCTGTGGAATATAGGGCGAGGGGACAAAAACTGGTTGTTTATTTTACCGGTATCTTTCTTCTCTGCGTTTACTTTCTATGTAGTCTGGTACAGTGGCCGGATAATTTCGCATACTACGGTGGTTGGAGAGATGCTTCCTCTCTTGCCCTGCATTTTCATAAAAGTGTGTATGATAGCGTATCTTAGGAAGGAAAATAATGAAGCCCTTATCTAGTGCATCTTAGACCTTATTAGCCATTGCGTAACCAATCAAACAAGTGTCAAGATACGAACAATTGTCAAGATATCCACGGCGAATTAAACCCTCTAGAAAAAAAAAACCTGCAAACCGACACACAGATAATGATATACCAGTATACTGGAAGAATTGCATTCTAATCTACCAACCCTTCGGAGAGAAGGACAGCACCTAAACAATCTAACTCGCCATCCATCAAAAACCGACAATTCTTTCACCGCACCCGCACGAAATAACAAATCACCAATGGGGCTACTCACCAAGATAGTCCTACCCAGGACACCCCCCACACAGATATAGCGACTCGGCGGTGAATACGCAACCCTGTACGATATACAGATCGTCCCCAACAACCCATCAGTATGACCACCGTACCTAATCCAACACCGGCACGTGCAACATCCTATAAACCTCCCGGGAAAAAGGATTTCCCCCCAGAATCCGGCCAAGCACGTTCATATGAGTTAGGAGGTTCGATACTGTATTTTTATTTTATTTCCTTTCCCTTTCCAACCTTTTTTTTTCCTATGTACATCATAATTGGGTGCATAAATACTGGAAACGCCACCCACACCCTGATTTTTTTGGATTCTTGAATTTTTGGATTCCCAATTGGAAGGCACATCACGAACGTCTTGTCATCACGTGCTACAGTATCATCCAGACATTCAAACAGGGGTATCCTAATAACCCCATTCTACCGTAACTACCTTAACCACCTTAGCCCGCACCAGCCAACATCGGAAAATCCATCTTCCAGGGGGGGGCACTATTATTACTATATCAACTTCACTTATACATATACCACAATAGGCAGTAGATCCGAAGTCATCACTCACACACCCCTTCCCCACAGTGCAGAAACGGAAACGGAAACGGAAACCAAAAAAAGGAAAAAGACGACATCACATCCATACATACCCCGTGCCCATCACTAAAATACGATAACGGCCTAGTAATTGACTTGGTCGGCACTCCGCATTCCCCTTCCCGTCGGGAACTGTGGGATCTCAGGATCGTGGTTTACTACTTGACTTTCCTTATCCTGAGACTAGGGTATGATTTGACTTGACTTGACTTGACCTGGTGATGAGGTACTGTACCGTTAGTTAAATTACTACCCACTATCATACCATACTTGACTATGTTTTTAGCCTGCATGGTATTTGGATAAACTATTGAGAGCATGTATTATAGCATGATATATATAAATCACAAGTGCTAGAAAACCAAGGGAGAATTTTTGGTATCATATTCGCAACACTTCTTACCATACACTACTATTCCCCACAAAGTGCCAGAACACTCAATGACTGCCCCCACTCACGCGAATAACCAATCCAACTAACTAACTAACTCAAAAAGTCGAACGGCAAGTATGGTACTGTACGGTACAGTACTCTACAGCACCGCAGTTATCACACGGTACCGTACTGTATATAACCCACAGAATCCAGGCGACATGAAGGATGCAATGCCCCGATCTCTCCCTCTCTCTCTTCCTCCCCCTCTCCTGCGGGTACGATATGGGATCAACCACATGCAATAACCGGTACAGTACTCTACAGTACTCGCAATAAATCCCCCGACGCCACACGCACACCAATCTGACACCCCCCGCCCGATATTTGTTTCCCTTTTTATCTATCTACCCCATTCGGGATTCCCGCCGGGTTCACAGCGTCAGGAAAAATTATGAGCGTTTTGGAGGGGTACGGTACGGTACTGTACAGGACTGTGGTCCTCGTGCAATGTTGAGAGTGATACGAGTACGGTAAGTAAGGGAAGCATGTACAGTACTGTACTATAGTACGGTAAAGCACTGTACTGTGCAGCGCAGGGCAGCACGTATTTTTACCAGTATTGTATTATATTGCACGCCGCCCGAATCTGAGCTGAAAGGCTAAATTTGGAGAGTGGATTACCGTATGGCGGTCGGGTGGCAGAGAGGTTAACCCATCACGAGTACCGGTACTGTACGAGTACAAGTACTCGAGTACATCACGGACTACTGCCGTACCGTAACTGTGCTTTACCGGTGCCGTGGATAGCCATACTATAGTGCGCGCGAACGCAAGAGGAAAGACGGCAAAGCTCGGCGCTCGGTTGGGACAGGACAAAAAGGAATATTCACGGCTCCTTGCGAGGCGAGACAGCTACCGCTCTAACGTCCAAGCACATTTCTATCCGGGATTTCGCGGTAACACTCGTCGAAAGTGCTCATTTTTCTTTCCTTTTTTTTTGCACACTCCGATTGTTGGTCGGTGGTCTGGCTGACGAGATTGGTCGGGGAGGGTGGGGGGGGGGGAAGCTGATGGTTACAGTACTTCTCCGGCACGATACCAGTACGGTGGAGCCAGTAGAGTTGTGCCAGTGTCATCTTACTCGGGTTGCGGCGCTCGTATTCGTGTGCCTCGGGGCAATACGATATCCCTCCGACCTCGCACACCACACACCCAAGCAAACGCCACCGTACACGAGGAGGAAGGAAAACTATACCAGTACTCTAATATTTTTCTCCGTTTCCTTTTTTTTTTTTACTCCAAGTCGAATGGAATCGAGCCACTATGTATTCATTCACCGTGCATTTATCCATCCCTCCTCTCACACAAGACATCAAAACCACTACTAATCGCACAACCAATCAAGCCTATATATAACCAAACATCATAATAACAAAATGGAAAAAAAGAAAAGAAAAGAAAAGACCAAAAAAGAAAAAAGGAAAATATCAGAAAGCCAACAAGCAAAGCAAGGACAAAAACAAAAGGAGAACCCCTTCCGAAATCTAACAAGAGACAAGCGAAACAGGACCAACAAACTTTTTTAACTACAAACCCCTCCTCACCCTCGACCTCACACCACCGCCCCCGCTGCTGCTATCCTCTCGGTCACTCCCCACCAACCCAGACACCGACAAACTGGCTGGTATGCTAGGATGCGTTCCCGGATAATAGCTTGCCCCGGGCGGGAAACTAGGCGTCGACCCAACATTTCTGCTTATAGAGTTGGATCTCCTGTGCCGTGAAGGGGTAGATGCTGGTTCCACGAATGATGGCGAGGGTGATATGCTTGCTTCATAGGAGGAAGTGGTCGAGTATACTGGGACCGCAACGCGCGGGTCGATGTCACGGGCGTAGCGAGGAGGAATGTGATGCTCCAATTCCGATGATGCGATCATTCGAGAATCTCGAGATTGTCGGCTATATGGTCGATCCAGTCGCGATGAAGAAGTAGCGGAGGAGTGCGAGATTTTAGGGGAGGAGTTGGCGGAGGATGAGTAACCGTAACCCATTGGGGGGAAATTTCCGTCTCCCGGGAAACCCGGCTCTCCCGCATTGCCTACACCTAACCCGTATGGTCCCGCCCCGCTGCGGCTTCGATTTCGTGTTTCGCTGCCATTGCGGGTTCTGCTCACGCTCGGGCTCCGGTGATTTCGCTCGCTACGGGCTGGACTTGGTTTTCGCTGGTCCAATTGCCGTTGCCTTTCCACCTCCATCATCTCCCATTGAATCCCCCGCTCCCGCTCCCGTTCCCGTTCCCGTTCCCGCGCCATCACTCGCTTCTCAATCTCCTGCTCCATCACCTGGTGTCTCATCCATGCCTGCCACTCCCGTTCTCCCATCTCCACCGGCTCACCCCTCGATTCCGCTCTTCTAATGGCCTCCAGGGCCCGTTGTAACAACACCTCCTCAGTAACTACCTCGTCCTCCTCCGGCTCCGTATCAAAATCATTCCCACCCATTTCGCCCCCCCCCAAATAACCGCCAAACTCCTCTGCACCATTAGTAATAAGCCTAGTATTGATTAAACCCGGTTCAAATCTTTTGTGTATCAAGTCAGCCCTCGTCCCCGCCGACTTCGATGGTCCATATCTTTTTATTATTGGAGTTCGCGGAGAGACCATCCCTAGACCGCCTCCTCGGAAAAAGCATTCTCGATCGGTTTGTCCATAAAGCTAGCGTGGGCGAGGATGCAAGTCCCGCTGGCTCCGATGAGCCAGAGAACCGTGGATATGGGAGAAGCAAAGATACCAAGGGGAACGGCGACAACAAGAAGAGTAGTGTAGAGTTGGGAAGTAGTAGCGTGAACCGGGCCTAGAGGAAGAAACAAATGTTAGGTTGGTTTTTTATCAACTGCCGAGGGAGCGGGGATTCCTATTGCGGTCACGATCTACAGCCAAGACATGGCTAAAACAGTGGGAAGGAGAAAAAGAAAGACTCGAGGCTAAACAAGGCAGCGGCATCATAAAACGTAAACAAGCGAGGGCAGAAAAAAGGAGCCATACCAATATCCAAATCTCTCCCACCAAGTCGACCAATCCCCCACATACCTCCTGCAACGAGGAGAATCACAAAGAGCAGCAACAGGTTCGTCAACAGGGAGTAAATGCTGAGCATAACAAAGACAACGGCATAGTTGCTAGAAAAGTAGCCCAGGTTGTAGCTCGCACGGCTCTGGACCTCGCCGAAATTATTGGGTTTGGAAAGGCGTTTGAAATCGAAGAATTCACCGAAGGGGCGTAGGTTAGAGAACCGACCAGCAAGTGGCATGCGATTACCCTCCTAGAAATTCCAGTCGTTAGACCTTTTTCCTCTCTCTCCGCCCCACGAAAGGCCACGAGGAACTCACGGTGAAACGGCCTAGGTTGAACCTATCCGTGATGGCAGATATAGGAATGGAAATGCTAGACATGGTGATAATGTTCGGTCTCCTCAGAGAACCTTCGACGATCGCTTGGGGGGGGGGGGCGGGCTGAAAGGCCACGCTCGAGCGAGTGAAAGGGAGGGGAACAGAAAGGTAGGAGGGAGAGGGTTAATAAAGAGCCTCTCGCCGGGCGATCAAGATTTCGCTGGACTCTAGCTAATGGACCGGATTAGACGGCTGAATCGGGGAGTAAGAGAAAAGGTGTGTGGGAGGGGTGATGGGTGCGAAGGATGGGTTGAGCTGTATGTAGAGATACGTGTCCGATGTAGGTGCAGGAAAGCTGGCGGTGGAGGGTTTCCGTGAAGTTTTATCTGCAGGCGATGGACCAATTGCGGGTATTAATTTAGAGAGTAACGAAGGAAAGGGGATCGGAGGAGGAGAGGAAAGGACACCAATCCCTTGAGTGGCGTCGACACCGCCACAAGCGATGCTCGCTACTCTGGGAAGTGCCTCCTCTTTATCCTACGGGGGTCGACTAAGCCCGTCCCGGCACGGCTCGGGTATGTTAGCGGTAGTTATAGTAATTTCGTAGAGTACTCGTACAGTACTCCCGCTTTAATATCATATCGCAACGTATCTCCTCCTCCACAGTGCTTCAAGCCTCACAAGTACCCTTAGGGCACAGAATTACACCGAGTCCGAACAGGCCAGCACTAAAAAAAGAAAACGGTTCATGATAAGCCATCACCTAGCCACCGTGGAATCCGCGTCCGGGACGTAATCCTGGTACCGACACCGGCACCGGCATACGACTCAGCTTCATCATCAAAAACATAATACGACGAGCACAATCACAAACAGTCCTCGTAAGCACTCACGCCCGCCATCGCCGTCATCACCATCATCACCGTCATCACCACCACCATCACCATCACCATCACCATCACCATCACCATCACCATCACCATCACCATCACCATCTCAATCCCATTGAAGATGCCCCGCCATGGATGCAACCCCCTTCCCCTTCAAGACCCCACATCCTCCTCACCTGTTCTCACTCAGACCCCTACAGGTTGTGCAGCCGCTCAGGTGCTGCTGCTTTTCACCAACCTTCAATCCATTGGCCATGCACAATTTGGGGAGAGAGCGGGCCATTTTGGTACCCCTTCACCCCTCCCTCCGCGAGCAGGCTTATCGTAGGTTTAGAAGTGCCACGTAGACGTGATTTTATGCAGTCTTCCTGACCTCTGCATGAGTTACGGGTACGAGTAATATGGGTAGGTAGTGATCGAGCATGGGAGGGCCGGATGGTGCTGCTAGAATTGGGGGCTTTATGGCGAGAAGAGATTTCCAAACCCGATATCAATATCAATAATGTACCGCAATGACGGTTATCGGTGTCTGCGCCCTCACCTAGATGCGGCAGAGTTATCGACAGTGATGGTAAGTTAATGATGATTCCCCTCCTTGGAGTTCTCAATTACCGTAAGCCACATGTTACATACGGCACTTGTACTGGTACAATGCCCCCACCCCAATCCACCAGGCTTCGATTCCTACCGTCTCGATGGCAATCCGCCCCACGCCTTGTTAGGGCTTGGGCTACGAAGAGGTGAACGACAAAGCTGAGGATGCCACATAACGGCACTTGTAACCTAGGAATCGGTTTGTCAGATTTTCCCTGTCCGACGACGCCCTTTGCTGCCTTGCCGATTTGCGGGTGTAGGCTCGATAAGAAGGGAAAAAGAGGTTTCTTCTCTGTTTTCCGCTGCCCACGGATATGCAACGCTGGCAGCGCCGGTATAGGTCACATGATTCTCTGGGTGCTTGAAAGAGGTTATGCACGGGTCAGAGGGAGAGGAGGCAGACGAGTTTACCCTCCGACACGGAGGTCTAGATCTCCCGGTATGCCAACAACGCATGTATCGTATCATACTGCACCGTATTGTACAGTACTGTACCGTGCACCTGTATTTTCCAACCACGAGGTCCATCTCTAGGTTGCCAACCAAGGTACCGGTATACCTTCCTAGCTGCAAGTACCAGCTCGCGAAAACGGAGCCTGTCTTTTTTTTTTGAAGAGAATGCACGCCGTCCTCCACGAGTGCAGACTGCTGTACCGAGAGCGAGTGAGGTGCTACCGGACTGGAACAAAGGTTGGGCAAGAAGTTATGGACAGTTATCTGAGGTTAGCCTGTAACTTAATACTCCAAAATCATCGCCGTCTTGCGAGAAACATCCCCTAGGTATGGTACCGTAACTTGCACCACAAAGTGCTAGGGTTTGGTAATTTACGGTAGCCCTCGGGCTATACCGGTGGGTTCCGATCCCCCGGTGTGATGCATTCCCACATTCTCACTTGATCCTCAACTCTGCAAAGCTGTCCCCAATTGCCCGGAATAAGGGCCCAATCAACACATACAATGGAACTCTTCGGCACGCTGCAAGAGCGGGTGGGAGTGCCAAGACTCAGGCACGGTGCCGGCAGTTGTGGCCAGCTTTGTCTTCCGAAGCGCCGGACGACCACCTTCACTCCCTTTTCTTTCTCTCCTCCTCGACCCTTCTCCCTCTCCCTAGCGACGTGGCAACGCCAAGCAACGGGGAAAACAACAATCGATTAACCATGAGGTCCCCATTCCTCATCCTCACGCTCGTAGCGAGTCTCGCGACTTTTGCGTTCGCATGGTCTAAAGAGGGTATGTTATCACCGGTGCTCTCCGTGGATAGTGAACAGTTGTTGACACATATACCAGATCACGAAATCTTCCGCCTCCACGATGAGATCCAACTTCACGAGGGGAAGGATACCACCTTCTATGGTAATCTTCCTCTCTTCTCCCCCCTTCCCCTACTCGAATACCGAGCTAACCGATCCCTCGTCGACCAGACTTCATCGGCCTAAAGAATGGCCCCTCAGCCTCCCAATCCGACATTACAAAAGCCTACAAGAAGAAATCCATCCGCATGCACCCGGACAAACACAAGCCCAAGCCTCCGCCGGGCGTGACCTACACCCAGGCGCAACTCTCCGAGCTGCACAAGCAAGCCTCCGAACGCTTTGCTCGTTTCCGTCTCGTGGTCGCCGTTCTCACCGGCCCGGGACGCGAACGCTACGACCACTTCCTCAAGAACGGGTTTCCGAGATGGCGCGGGACTGGGTATTACTATTCACGGTTCAGACCCGGCTTGGGGAGTGTGCTCACGGGGTTGTTCTTGTTCTCCGGGATCATGCATTACGGCATCCTCTGGTTGAATTCGAGGCGCCAGAGAGAGTTTATGCGCGAGTACATCAAGAACGCTAGGACCACCGCATGGGGCAAAGGCGGGATTCCCGGGTTGAATGATGCCCTTGAAGCTGCCATCCCCGATGGTAGTAGTGGAGCAGCTACCGGCGCAGAGCAAAAGTTGAACAGAGCGGAGAGGCGCGCGGGCAAGGGAAAGGCTGTTAAGGAATCCTCTAGATCCGGCTCTGCAACCCCATCAGCTCAACACACAACCAAGCGCCGGGTCCAAGCCGACAATGGAAAGGTTCTTATGGTGGATAGTGCTGGATCCGTCTATCTCATTGAGCAGGACGAGAATGGGAAGGACGTCCACCTGATGCTCGACCTCGACGAGATTGAAGGCCCAAAGATCAAGAACACTCTACTAGTTACATTGCCCTTATGGATATTCGACAGGACTGTCGGAAGACTCATTCCCGGACGCAATGCTGCTACTGACGGGGATGAAGCGCACGACGGCGAGGAGGACGCAGACGAGGACGAGGAAGTCGTCACCAGCTCCGCCGGAGAAGAGGTCGTCATCAAGAAAATGGCCAAGAAGAAGAAGGGTGTTGCGAAAAAGGTGGAGAGGAGCGACGGTTTGCCCAGGAGGAAAACTGGGGCGAAGAGGCCGGCAAAGAAGTAGCTGTTCTTTTTATCTTGATGAGAGGGTTTCATTTATTTGCTTTCTTTTTTCCCGTCTAAAATAAAAATGGGTGCTTTGTATCAGTTAGAATGGCTTGTGCCTTTGCTTTGTGTCGTGATAGGGGTGAGGATTGTGTACTGGGTGAGTGGGGATTTCTCGGATGATATCATACAGTACCTATAGGGAGTATGGATATATTTATCATGAATTCGCGAATTGGCGGTAGTCGCGGGGTGTATATCATATTTAAGTGAACACAACCGCAACTGCCATTACAACAACAACACTACTCGAGTACCGGTACCTTAAATTCTCTTTGCCCCATGCTATCTAGTAATTTACTCACCAGCCCACGAACGCACAATGCTAGCCCCCCCCCCACAGAAACCAACCCAACCCCGAATACCCCATAATGCATCATACCCGCCCGCAGTCTGCGATCCCATCTCAACCCACCCACCCTTCACAAAAAGTCACTCGCCCACCCAGTTACGCATCACACACTCCGACCTCTCCACGCCCCCGCCCCCCACTCTACCACCCCCCACGGTATCACACTACGTTCGCAATCCAATCCCAACGCGCCGCCGATCCCGCCCCACCCCGTGCCGCACTCACACCAAACACTCCGCGTTTCCAGATGAGCAAGTGTAGGACAGTCCAGTACCGGTACAATCGCCAGAATACCAAACGTACGATACATCGCGGTAAACCTTGTCAGCGTAGATTACGTTCACGGCGGTGGTTCGGTTCCGTGGGTAAGAGCGCGGTGCGGTATGGGCTCTATGCTGCCAGGAAACTGGGAGTGGGGGGGAGGAACAGAATCTAAGTATTATAAAGCCAATGATAGAAAATCTCGTATAATACATAGCGCCGGAATAAGCTATATTCTTTTCCTTCTTTTTCTTTCTTGTCGTATTTGTAATTCGCTCTTCTTTTCCCATTCGTTCGCTGTTTATTTATTCGTCTATCGTGTTGTACCTCGCGTCATCGTGAGACTCGTATATTACGCTGATTAACTTTGTGTAGCTTACTTGGTCTGTCATTGCACGTCTCGTCACAGTTGAGTTTTTCCAGACAGGCTTATCTCCCGGTCCGTCGAATGAGGTGTTGCCGGTATTGGTTTCCGGTTTTTACATACTCCCACCCGGAACATGCTCTTTCGCCTGGGCGGAAGGGCCGTGGGAGGGGTGGGGGAGAGATAGAGGACAGAAGGGCTTTCTGACCGGGGGCGTGTGTGTGGGGTAATGTATGGAGCACCCGGTGAACTGGAATGTAGGGGGATTGCTCTCTCTGGAATTGGGGCTATCATAATAGGATTTTTTCAATTTTTTTTTTCCGTGTGAAGAATAGGTGCCGGCTATCACTCGGCAGACAGCATGCTACTATGCATTAATCATATTGTATCACCCAACCAATCGGTAGATGATGGATGCTCTAAACCGCCTTGAAGCCGAAGCCTTAAGGCCATTGGGAGGAACTCCCAGAGTCTGGTCCTTCTCCACGGTCGGACGCTCCTGATCCTTCCTACGCAAGTCCAGCGCTCCGGAAATGTTGTATGATCGCCTGTGATTGGTAAAGTTGACAAAAGATAACTTTTTCGCTAATCGGTGGTGCTGAAACTCCTCCCCCTCCCAAAACAACACGATTTGTGGAACATATTTTCCCTAAGCTGGTGGTATCTTATTGCCAGGCATAGCGGTTTGTCGGGTAGGGTGGAGGGTCAACTATGCTCAGTAGTTCAGATTGGATAGTTTATGACGGCCAGACCCTCGATGGGATGGAACGGAGTGAAGCTATTATACAGATGACATCACGGTCTCTGCTGGCGTGCTTTCTGGCCTGGCCTTTCAGCTCCTTGTGGGACGCGGAAAGTGTGTGTTTGTTGAGCGTGTATATCAAGCCCTTCTTTCCCCCACGGCTCTGATTGGGAAGGAAGGCGCTTCTCAGCCGCTTATTAGAGTAGCCGATACGCGACTAACGGGCCCGGAAAAACTGGCAAAATCTGCAAGGCTCCCGTACGCTGAGCTGATATAATTTGTGCAATATTTTTTCACAAGCCTACGGCAGGGGGCACAAAAGACTTGAACGAAGAGAAAAGGTCAAAGGAATGGTGGACTTGGAGTTGTGATCACTAATTGCGGCTGTCTATTAAACGCTGCTATAGACATTAAGACACACCAAAGATACCACAGATAGTTGAATTTTCATCATCCTGGCTTCTCACCTCTAGTAAGTTCTGCTTTAATCAGTTGGACTTGGATCACAGCCAGCGATCCAAATCCGAATATACTCCACCTTGGTCAACCCTCAACCTCGCTGGCCTCCTCTCTCGCACATCGTAAAAATGACCAGGACGCAGACGTCAAACTACCCCGTTTATCATTATCCAGATAACCATCGTCATAGTCCGAAGCTTTTAGGAGTTTGATAAACTCTTCAAATGACTCGTAGAATTTCCTACTGCCAACTTTGGACTGTGACGAAGCAATGGTGGCATGAGTGTTTAGGACGGTAATAGTCGGTTCGTGCACTGAAACGGTTAGCCCAAACATTTTCCGGGGGTGGAAAGGGTTACCCACTGATTTCTGATACCCGCAGATGGTCCAGCCCATAAAGTTTCTCGAAGGTATAGGTGTCGCTTCTCCACTCTGGCGATTTATAGAGCATGGCGTCGACAATGGCATCGCCCCAAAATCCAGCCACATTCTCTTCCTGAAGGATTTTGGTGTCCGAGCTATCCTCGATATTAAGCTTGTCACGTCTAAAGGTGTTGATGAACCTATACCGCACCTTCTTATAGCCCGGGCACGAAACCTCCAAAACGAGCAATTCGTCTAAGCTCAGCAATCTCCGACTCCCGGGAGGCAAGCTCCAACTGGTGTAGTGAGTATCGTAGTGCATGTCGTGTTACTACCCTCGTGTTTTCTCTGAGAAACCAAGCTGTGGGTCGTCATGTTGGCCCTTACGTTCTTGTGGCGATCCTTAGTTTTCGCTGGCTTGCGGGGCATTATTGTCGTGCCCAGGCGTGCTCAGGTTTCTTAACACAAATGGTTGAATCGGCTTCGTTGCTTGTCAAACAGCGATGGGGGATCCATACTACTTATTACTGTGCTTAGCATTGCTTTAGCATATTTAGCGTGCTTTAGCATGCTTTGTGGCCGTGGCCTGGCTATTATATATTCCAGAAAATTTGACAGAGTTCTAGAACATCTTGTCTCATTCTCAATTCTACTCGCACTGAACGGAACTATTGGAACAGGGGACTCGCCAACATGACGATCATACGGGAAGAGATGTTGAGAAGTGTTTATAACAAGGGGCACTATCCATAGTTGAATAATGATCACTTTTCCCCTTCACCTCTGCCTTCTTTGGTGGTGTGAGGGGAAGGGTATTAGCAGAGCAGGTAAGACTGAAGATAAGCGAGAATGATTATCGCCCGGGATCCTAAGAGCGCTGACCATTCCTCTCAACCTTAAAGACACAATAGGCAGAAGTAACAAACAAAGTCACAACTTCGCCGAAGGTGCTTGGCAGTTCATATTTGGTATGGAAAACCAGAAATGATTGAAGACATGTTTGAACACCTCAGCTAGTGAGCTATCAAGACTGTTCCTAGATTTGGGCACTACATCACGCCAGATTTGTACTACACCAGGTCCCCTTACTCTGGATCTCCAACCTATAAACCGTCGGGTAAAAGTGTTCTCTAGTAGAGACCGGGAAATGGGAAGAAAGTTTCATGGGGAGGAGGCAAGTTGGGGGGAAATAATTGGGAGAGAAAGCCCCTCATTTGCAGTCCAAAGTTTTTCTAAAGAGCCGGATTTGGGCCTGCACTTTTCTTATAAGCACCTCTTTGAGGACATTTTCCAGGAAATTTTCATTTTATTTTATGGACATTATTCTCGTTAGCTACAAGGCCACAATAGCACGGCCCGGCCTTACCGTATATAAATTCAATTCACCGTCCTTCTCATATCCGTGCTGGGTTTATGTCTCGCATAAGCTTATTATTTCCCATGAAACGGGTCTTATCTTAGAAATTCTGCATGAAGAGTTCAAGTTGTTTCCACTTGTGCCGACATTCGCAGTCTTCTTACCTTGTTTCTTCATCACGGACATGCTATTAGTGCGCTGGTAGTAGAGTTGTTAATAGAATTGTAGTGTTTAGAGGGATCTCGGATAATTTGTTCCGAGTATCCACTATGCGAGACACCATCTGCCTCTGCACAGCTCACCACCACCCTGCAGTCTGAATGATAACGGTTGATCATGCGCCGCACTTTAATCATTTTCCCTTATGGGTGCAATGGGCTTGGTATCGTTTCTTATACATTTTAAATACTCCTGTGTCATGGGTGTGACAGAAGCTGTTGGGGGGTGGAAGAGCTAGGTCGCAGGATGGCTTCCTCCCAGGGAGGGGTGTAGGTTAATGTGTGCAAGCATGGGGGAAGGTGGAATATAGGGGAATTTTTCTCACTAGAATTTGGGAGTATCATATCATAACAAGATTTTTTTTTTTTTTTTTTTGTCCTGTAAAGAACAGGTGCTGCGCTATCCCCCAGCTGACTACGCCATTGTGCACTAATCATGTCATATCACTCGACTAATCGGCAGATGACAGATGCTCCAAAGCACCTCGAGGCGGGAGCCCAAGGCTATTTGGAGGGCTCACAGAGTTAAGTCCTTCCCCCCAGTCGGATAATCCTGATCCCTCCTACGCAAGACTGGCACTCCGCAAACGTTGTGTGATCCCCTGTGATTGGTACAGCTGACACGAAATATATTTTCTCTAATCGGTAGCGCTGAAACCCCTCGCCCCCCCCAAAGCCAATACGATTTGTGGAAAACATATTTTCCCCAAGTCGCTGGTATCGCATTGCCACGCATGGCGGTTTGCCGGATAGGGAGGAGGGTCAGCTATTCTCGGTGGTTCAGATTGGATAGTTTATGAGAGCGGGATCCTCGGTGGGATGGAACTGAGTAAAGCTATGGTACAGATAAAATCGTGGTTTCTGCCCGCGTGTATTCTGGCCTGGCCCTGCGGCGTATCTGGCACACTGCTGTGACTGCGTCTGGCTGGTTATCGACCGTAGCATAGATTATGATAAAAATGAGTGGACTACTTGCGAGAGGTCAATAGTAGGTTTTTGTTTAGGTGTATATCAAGCCCTTCTTTCCCCTAGCTCTGAACAGGAAGGAAGTGAGGCCCTCACCGGCCCCTTACCAGAGCAGCCCCCCACCTCCAGCAGACCGCCATGCTCCTAAATGCTATACTAGAACTAACAACTTAAAAAAAAAAACTAAGCAAAAGCGGCAAAGCTCCCTCCCACAGATATGACATAATTTATACAATATTTTTCACAAGCTTACGGTCAGGCGTACAAAAGACTTATGCCAAGGGGAAATGCTAAGGGAAAGGTGGGCTTGGGGCTGTGATCACTTATTGCGGTAGTCTATTAAACGCTACTATAGACATTAAGACACACCAAAGGATCACAAATAATTGAATTCTCATCACTCTAGCCCCTCCCCTCTAATAAGTCAGATTTTAAGCGGCTCGACTTAGGTAATATCCAGCAATCCGGATCGGGATCCGTGCTATCTAAGACAGCCCCCGACACCGCTGACTTCATCCTTGGCACATCGTAGAAATGGCCAGTACGCACACCTCAAACTACCCAGTCTACTGTCATCCAGATAACTTTCGTCATAGTGTGCAGCTCGTAGAAGTTCAATAAACTCTACAAATGACTTCTAGAATTTCTCACTGCCAACCCTGGACTGCGACGAAACAATGGCGGCATGCGTGTTTAGAATGGCAATAGTCGCCTCGCTCTCTGAAATGGTCAGCCCAAAAAGTTTCAAGGATAGGAAGGGTCACTCACTGAATTTCAATATCCGCAGAGGGTCCAACCCATAAAGGTTCTCAAAGGTAGAGGGGTCACGTCTTACACCTGATTTATAGAGCGTGGCGTCGATAACTGCATCACCCCCAATCGCAGTCACATTTCCTTCCTGAAGGATTTGGGTGTCCGAGCTAGCCTCGATATTAAGCTTGTCACACTTAAAAGTACTGATGAACCGATTCCGCACCAGCTTATACTCGCGCGATGAAACAGTCAAAGTGAGCAATTTCTTCCTAAGCTCAGTGATCTCTAACTCGCACAAGGCGTCCTTCTATTGATTGTCCACGGGAGGTTCACTCCTAACATCCTTAATGTGAAGTTCCTCCTTCACCAGTGCCTGTCCAAGCCCATCCTTGGTGGCCTTCCTCATTTCTCCTTTGTCACCGATTCCCGATGTGATAGCTAGCATCGTAGTGTATGTCGTGTTACACCTACGATCTTCGCTTTCCCTCGGAAGGACTGAGCTGGGGGTCGTCATGCCGACCTTTACCTTTTTGCTGTGACCATCCTTTTTTGTTGACTTGTGAGGCATGATTGTCGTGTTCAGGCGTGCTCAGGTTCGATGTGTGAAATGGTTGAATTGAATTTGCCGCTTGTCAACCAGGGTGGAGGAATGCTCACCACTTATAACTATACTAGCGTTGCTTTAGTGCGCTATGGCCCTACTCCCTACTCGACGATGTTGGAGAAGATTCGACAAACTTCTGAAACATCTTGTCTGGTTCTCAATTCTATCCACACTGAACGGAACCATTGAAACTGGAAATCCGTCAACATGCACACGGAAGCAGAAGTTGAGAAGTGCCTACAGACATAAGCACTACCTATGGTCTAACAATTACTATTTTCCTCTTCTCCGCTCTTTCTTTGGTGGCACAAAGGAAAGGGTCTAGCTCAGCGGATAGGGCTGAAGATAAGCGAGGAGGATCATGGCGTAGGATCCGCAGAGCCATGGACCGATCCTCCCCACCTTAACCACAAAACAGGTATGAGAGAAACAATAAACAACGCCACGGCTTCGAAGGAGGTGCTTGGCCATTAAGATTTAACAAGGCAAGCCAAACAATTGCAAACATCTTTGAAGTTATACCATCGGCCATACTAATATACCTCATCGCCTATAACCCGCAAGAGAAGGGATGTCCCACAAATCTGATCCAGCACGAGGATAGCAAGAAAGACAATTGCTTCAACACATACCTTAGAGGTCCCTCACATATGGGTATCAGACTAGAGCTATCGAAGCCAAAAGATAGTCTGCTAGGGCCAAATTTTCACCCTTCCCCCATGAGTCAAAAAAATAGATATCATACGGACATCGCCAGAATGAGGATTATAGAAAAATATTAGCGGATGCGGTAAATCGCTCTTTTTTTTTGAATCCATTGTCAGCACTGCGGTTTGAGTGCCCTTAACATCGGATAGTGGACGATTTGGTAGAGTGCAGTACAGTAGTCCTTCCGCCAGGTTGTGAGCGACAGATACAGCCACGTCCGTAAAGCTCTTATATATTTCCCTCCGACGTATTGTGCCTCTGGGAAGAATACCTATTAGCAACAACGGTACGACAGGAGCCTTTGTGTTCGGATATGCCTCTAGGAACATTGTAAGCCCTTTATCATAATTCCTTCGATTGAATGTATTAATCGGGTACGATATCTACCCCGCCCGCCATGCTCACCAGAAAAGGAAGGAGGGAAAAAACAAGTAAAATGCAGTGGATGAGAGCCGTGATACCGTATTCTCTACTTCAACTCTCCAAGCTAGGCACCCCATCTGATACACAGTTAAAGGTTCTATATCCCTACTATCCCCATGATCCGGGAAATGGCATCCCGGGGAGTTCCTCAAATCCCCTAGATCCTCCTTCCTGAGAACATAAGAGCCAGATAGTTTACATTATTCATTGCAGCGTGATAACACTAGTTGAGAAGTTGTTTGCTCCTGAGACCCATTTGGAAACCTCAGCCCAAGTACTTTCAAAATTTCCGTAACCCCCCTCCTTATGTGATATCATATCTTAGTATGATAGCAAGAAGCACATCCCAGAAGAGACGGGGTTGGAAGGGGGGGGGGGCAGAAAAGAATTGGCGGAACCCAACAAACACACCCGAAACTGAGGCATGTCAATCGAACCCCGTGGGGTTATGTTGGAAATCAGTAGTTGCTGCGCGGCATGCTCTCGGACGTGCCTAGAAGACAGCGGATATAACCCAGGCCAATCTTGCCACCTGGTTGAAGCAGATCCCATGCTAGAGACGCCCCGTCGGCGAAATATTTTCTTCTGCAGATATCATACCAGTGTTACAGGCTAGTGATATATGACAAGAAGAGTTTTTGTTTGCACGCTAGTTTTCAGGTGTGGGGGATGAGGGTTTCTCCGCAGGTTTGGGGGCTCGGAGGTTAAGCAATTCTAAGTCCCGAATTTCTTTATCATACTCTTTCCTCTGTGATTGATCAAGCAGTCAACGTTCTCAAAATCGTTTTTTCTTTCTTCACTTTCGCCAGTCTCTATCTGTCAATGTCCCCATCGTCTTTAATACAATCCAGGAAGTTATCGTTGAAGCTCTACCTTGTTGCATTATCTGTAAAAGGTTATCGAGCGGGGACTATGTAAGAGGATCGGATGGATTGTGAGACGCTACCGCAGAACAAGATTCTTAGAGTGTTTGTAGTGCGGGTACGTTTCAAGGTCCAGAAATAGAGACCTTGCCTCCACTCGAAAGCGTGATGGGGTCGTTGGGGCCGTATTCCGGGCTTGCACCAACATCAACACCTTCAGCCCGAGTACCATATTAATCCATTTCCCTTCTGCACCTTCAGCCGGACTAGATTTTCCATATAAGCATCACTCAGCCCATATCTTTGTGCCATCTCTTCAATCCTCCTTCCCCTCCAAGTGGATCTGTATGATATGATAATGTACAAACCCGCCTGATTGTAGCTATGCTGTACCATGACCTCATCAGCGAACCCCAGCTCCGCACGGGCAAGGACGTCGATCGCCTAAACCATGGCAAGAATTCCGGATATCATATCCTCGGAACCGCTAAGTATAACCCCGGTGATGAAGAAACACGCGCCTTCTAGGTCACTCCACACAAAATTACAATTTTTAATTACCTACGATACCAGAAAAGCCTACCCACGTCAAATTCCGTCTTTCAATATCGGATTCTATGAGGGACCTCGATAGGGAGTTTTGCATTAATGTTGTTTTCCCCCTCCCCCCAATTTCCATCGATATCATAATTCCAGATACCGACACAAGGAAGGAGTGATATCATATGAAGCGGTCCTACGTCGTCGCCATGCAACCCTCCCACAAATCTGCTGTCCCCGTCACTTGTGTGGATTTTGAGCTCCCCTTTGTAATAATCGAGACCTCCCCGTTTTTGCCGAATGACTTCTTGTAGCTCAGCGTCCAACTATGTGACCCTTTGGCCCTAAACTCCCTGTTAAAACTGTTACAATGCTGAACTTTCCCCACTCCCTTGCTGCTGGATAGGTTCATGTTGAAAATCGGCATCATATTTTGGTTAGGAACCTAGAGGGGGGGGCACGTTTCTAACAGTACAAGTCTCCCACCCCATCTCAGCTGTGCTGAGAAATATACAAGGTTAGATAAGTTGCCCCCGGAGGCCTCACGGTAGTGACCTATCGTTTTTATTTTACCTTTGGACTTTCCAAACGCCTTTTCTCAACAAGGCTTGTCGACTTTGCCCGCTCATCTATCTGTTATGACCCATGTCGAAGCAGCAAATTACAAGCACAGTTGAACCCAACTAACCGAGTGACACCCTATGCTCGAGTGTTGGGATTTGTGCGTATCATCATTATAGTCGTCATTGTGCCTCCATGGATCGGCTTGCGTCGTCCATTTCTCTTCCTGTAACCTTCATTTCCCTCCCCCTTCGTCTCCTTTTCACTCTTTTCATTTCCTCCCCCCAACTCTACTCTTTCTAGCTCCCCTCCCTGTACCATTGCTCTTACCGAATCATACACCCGATACCGCAACACCGTAGCAGACCTTATGCTCTTATCAGTTCCTGTCCAAGAGCCTTATGAAAATATAAAAATGCTTAGTTCGTATCATATCACAATCGCTTTGACCATCATATCACTTTTATCCCTTTACGGGGGGCAGACCCCTACAAACTCTTTTGCTGTCCCTCTTTCCTCCCTCTTGTTCATCCACCTATCATACCTGCCCACGACGGTTTAAATAGGATTCCAGAACGATATAATGTGTAACGTCGGCCGTGATTGGCATCATACACCATCAGCTTTTGGGAAAAAAATTTACGACAGTCTCTCCAGGTCTCGGCATAATCTAACTTGTGCAGTATAATATTATCATATCAGAATATCATACTTGAACAAAAGCTATCACCCGAATCCGAACCCCCCGTCAGACGAGACTGGTATCTTAACTGCAGAGGATAACACCATATACTCCATCATACCATATCATACAAAAATTTGATACGAGACTCTTTACCAAGACCCCTTTCCTCCCCTTCCACACTACAGAAGAAGGAAAACACTTGTGATAAAGCCCCCTCCCTCCCTAACCTATTCCATCATACTCAATACCCGACCGTCACCATTTCCTGAAAAGGAACACAAGACGAAGACGACGACCAGCTATCCAACTTGCAGGTACGATATTCAGAAAACTAGAAATTCCAATTCTATAACACCAAATCGATAATAATATAATATAATTATCATACCCGGCGAAAATGTCAAAAAAAGAAAAATGAGAAAATGAGCTGATAGGGGGGGAGAGAGAAATTGGTTGGAGGGAAATCTATGAGTTTATGATACTTTCGAGCGTACGGCAACTTGGACCGCCATACACACCAAACAGAGTGTTAACTTGTACTTTATTATTATACAGAGTGGTGCTCACAACGTTGAATACAAATTTTCCTCGGGGGTAGAGTGCGAGTACTATACAGTGCTACGCGGCACATCTATCCGTGAGCATCCATCCCATCCATCCCGCGAGACCAAATAATAACGCAAAAAAGAAAGGAGAGTAAATGTCAAGACCACTGCAAGACACTGCTCAAATAATCCGAGTATCATAGTGTTATGTGGAGATCTTACCCTCACACACCAGGCCATGTCATACTATACCAATACAGTACAATACAAAGCTTTCGTACTACAGACCACACACCTCCTCTTCCTCCTCCTCCTCCTCCTCCTTCCAACAACAAACACCATCTCTACAATTCGAATCTCCACCGGTATAATAATGCAGCTAGCTAATTTCCATCCATCCGACCCAAAACGCACCCCAGCAGGACATGGCGGAAGAAACGCAATGGAAAAAAAATAATAATACCATACGGTACTGTAATGCAGAGAAGGACGGGGAAGTACTGTACAGTAAGTATGATAAGAATTGTTGTCAGACTATAAACACGCAATACAAGCACTCATCACTGGAAATCGCCGGACGAGAGGGAAACCAAAGAAGAAAAGAAGAAGAAAAGCGGGCTCTATGCGGAGCAATGCTCAGCCTATTAAGGTTTCCAAGGATATCGCGGGGGAGGGCACTTGCCATATCGGGTATGATACTGTAGCGTTTCAGCGACTTATCGGTGTCTGCGCCCCCATCTAGGGGGTGATATGGCATTGCGGTGCCATCCACCTATCCCGGGATGCATCCTGGTGCGCCCTGTGAGGTCTGGGGGCTAGATTTTGGTGCTACTACTAGGCACTAGGGCGGGATGAAGGAGCGATACAAAGTGTCAAATATATAGCAAGCCATACGGTTGGGATACAAGCATAATAGCGCAGATTTATCGTGCTACGTAACGGGACTTGGACCGTCACCCGCGAATTGTCACTCCTGTCCTCTCCCTCATGACCCCCTCCCTACAAACGAGTAAGGGCGCTAAATAAAATCAATTCTATCCCATTCTATTCTATTCTATTCTATCATTGCCCCTCCCCTCCATGTTTCATTCACAGCTTCTCACTCGCTCTTCAGTGTCTTGACCCCCTTGCACTTCCACCCGCCACCACCAAACCCCCCACAACACAACACAACACAATCTACAAAGAAAGCAATTCATTCCACCATTTAATTTCTCTACAAAAGTTCAATCCCTTCATCTCCCTGCCAATCTATATTCCCCGAGGTGCTCCAGTATTCCAAGCAATAAATACTTCCTAAATTAAAAAGGGCAAAGAGAAAAAAACGACAGCCCCCCATCCCCCGCACCAACTCTCCCCCCTCTAAAAAAGAAAAGAAGAAACGCCAATCACCCCAAACCAAAGACAAATGCAAAAGTAATAGTAAAGGGGGAAAAAAATGAAAAAGCTCGAATAAATAGATCGGGAGGAAGGTATTAAGAGAAGGGAAAGAGTGTACGGGCAAGTCACAATATACACCCCGAAAAAGAAAAAGGAAAAGCAAAGGGCAGGTTGCCAGCAACACCAAAACCACTAGTCCTCCGAAGGCTCTAAACTCGACCCCTTTGACCTATCCTCCTCCTTACCGGCAGACCTAACTATCGCGATAAACTCATCTTCCTTCCCGAGTTCCCATCTGCGCTTCACGTTCCATCCGAGGAGGCTGACCACTTCCTCTGCATCGCCATAGAGCCTAGATTCCAAGACGGTCATCACCGCTATCGCAGTGCGGACTAGAAATGCGTCACCCTCGAACGAGTAAATGTCCCAGATGCGGGATGCAACATCGATGGGACAGTGCAGGGTGAAGAGTGTTAAAAACATAGCTTCAAGATACATCGACGGCGGAAGGTTGAGGATTACGTGGATATGTTGGTATAACGAAGGGAGTTTGTATCTGAAGGCTTTGAGGAAGAGGTTGTACACTCGGGACATCTGGCTTGAATCAGTAATGAAAGAATGTGTGGACCTGGGGGGGTAAATTACCGCGCCCTCGTCTTGTGTGTAGAAAGCTAATGGTAGGGGGCGATTTAGAAGGTTAACGAGCGTGGTGAAACTCTGCTCCGGAGAGAGGTTTAGAAGCAGTAGTCCAGCGACAGCCTAATGCACAATCAGCCACCCGGCAGTTGAAAACAGGAGAATGGACAACTCACATGTGTGCCGAAAACATATCCAACATCGCTTCGATACATGGAATAAGCCATCAGTACCTCCAGCAGACTCTGGTGCAGCGGACCCTTCTCCTGAAACTGAACTGTCAACCACCACCCAACAATTTCCAAAGGGAACCCCGGGGGAGAAACCCCCACAAAACTTACCTGGAAAATCTTGAGCTCCGTAAAGGTCTTATCAACATCCCTTCTAATGGCGCTGAACACCTCCCTTTCCTTGAACGAGTACATTGCCGGACTCTTCTCTAACCCATCCTCCACATCCCGCGCCCGCTTCAGCGCCAACCGGAATGTTTCCGGCCCTACTGTAAGATTATTGCCAAACGACAACTGCCAAACCTTCCCCCGACACCGGGGAGCGACACCCTGCCACCAGAGCTCTCGGGTTTCGTTCTTGCGAGTCGCGGCACTCCAGTTTGGTATGATTTGTTGGTCCCAGACCCTGTCGGTATCATTCTTGATCCGATCCTTGTGCTCTTGCTCTTGCCGCTCCTTTTCGGCTCGTTTCCGATCTGTACTACAGTCAGATTGTACACTCCAAGCCCCGTAAATAAAGTAGCCTACCCGCTTCCTGCGACAAGCGCATCATCCTTTTGTACTCTTTCAGGTGCCTCTTCTCCTCCTCCTTTGACTTGGGCGGTAACCACGAAGGCCTAGTTCTGGATAGCACAGCTTCCTTCTCCTTACTAATCGGCAGCGGGTCGATCATCCCGTTAGTCATTTGAAGAGGCGGGAGCGGGATAACTGTAGTGGTGGAAAAACTTTTCCTGATAGGCAGGGGCGTAGGCGGTACAGGACCAGAAATAATTGAGACACTGCTCTTGCTCTTCTCAATAGATTTCTGTAGTCTCCTCGTGGTCTGCTCAATCTCCTCGCCCACATGTCTCTCCAGCGCCTCACTTAACTCCTTTGCCTCATCCCCCAACTCCGACATCGCGTCGCTCCAACCTTTAGACCGGAACTGGGCCCTGCCCCTCGCCTCATTACCCAATTCACCCGGTATGGATACCATCGCAGCTCCCCTTGTCGGTGGCGGTGTAGGTTCCCCATTGACTGGCAGCGGTTCCCTGGGCGACGTCCTTTCCGGCGAAGGTGCAGCCGACAACGCCCTCGCCGACCGTGGGGAAAGAGGAACATTATAAAAGATGGTGTCCGGTGGAACGTCATCGTCAGAATCACATTCGTTCTCCAACTCCTCCACCGTCTTCCTGTTAGAAGCCTGCTGCCAGGATAACCTGCTCGGCCTCGTCATCGGAGAAGTCTGTCTCCCATGCGACCCATTCGAAACCGGCACGATGTTCGGGGAGAGGGGTGCAGACAGTGGGTCAGGCGAGAGTGATCTTGGCGGCGGGTTCTTGCTACTCTGGCTGCCGTTCATCCCATTGGTCGGAGCCGGTCTTCGCGAGGGGGGACCGAGATGGTTTTGCTCCTGAGACGAGGGATGCGTGCCCACCTGTGACGAAGAGAGAGGAGGCCTCTTCAGCTGCGTTAGGTCCCTCAGTTTCCCCAGGGCCGTGGTGGTGCCATTCCTCCCCATAAGTGCGGACTGCCTCCCGTTTGGCCCCCCCACACTCCTCGGCGGCTTCGGCACCGACATGGCCATCGGCATCGACGAAATCTGGACAGTGTGATGGTCATCGTGGTCATCGCTCAACCCAATCTCCTCAAAGTGGCCCAGGTCATTGCAAATGCTCCCATCGTCGAGTTGGAAACTAGATGGTAGCGATGATGACTTTGAGGAGCCCGTTCCTTCACCCTCGACAAGCTCCGGAGGTGAGACCCAGCCACCAACGCTCGCTGTCATCTGTCAAAGAGCAGGATAAAGGGAGGGGGGGTAGGTGAAGGAGGAGGAGAAAAGGCTCTTGGAAGATTGTTTGTGAAGAAACCTTTTGTTTTGTTACGAGCTCTTATGCTGCTATCGAAGCCCTTTTCTCTTCACCGCTCCTATAGTTGGTGAGGGCGTTCAGGGGTACCAGTTTGGTTTGCCGGATTGTGGTGACGGCGACAAAGGTTCAAAGGAGGCAAACAATGTTGAAAAGTGAATGACGTCGGCTCCAAAACCCCCAACCAAAACTAGTGAAGCAAAGCCCCAGTTCGTCTCTCCAGGAACGAAAAACAATTGGAATTTTTTTAATTTTTTTTCCCCAATTTGGGCCGTAACCTTATTCAAAGATTTTCCTAGATGAAAAACGAGGGTAAAGATCGTCCGATAACAAAACAATTTATGGGAGAGGGTCAAGGATGGGGAAATATCTTGTTGAGAAATAAAAAAAGAGAGGATGATTAATGCATAGGCACAAGGTATGGGGGAAGCGAGTGAGTTGGTAGGAAGAAAGGGAGAGAGTGTGCGGAGGAGAGGAGACCCGTGAATGGACAGACGGCCTGAGGCCTGAGGAGCGCAGAACTTGTGAGCGGGCGGCAAGGCAACCGCAGAGACCCTAACCCTTCCGTAGCGCCGGTGCCGTATGATACTGTACCTACTATGATTGTAACTTATTCTTCTTCGTATCGCACCCTCGCTTGCATGCATAGCCACAAGGAGTGGAGAAGCGAGTGAAGGTGCGAGAGAGAGAGAGCGAGCGAATAAAATGGAAGAATAAGGGGACATTCAGCACCATGGGATTGTCTATGCGGAAGTGTATTCCAGTTTAACACACCCCCATCCAGATAACCTCCGAGTGCCGGTTCCTATACCGGCCG